AGCTGAAGTTATCAGTCTAAATATCTTGCCTGAGGTCATGAACGTACTTAGTGACAGAGGCAAGGCTGGGAAGCCTCCCCAGCCTTCACGCCTGGCCCTCCTCCACCCCTGCATGTATTTGAGAAGGTGGTTGGTTACCTCGGCCTCTTAAATACCTGCAGGGGCTTTGCTCCTCCAGGCCTCGCCCCCGACAGCGTCCTGGGCTGCTTCACAAGAAGACGGCGGTGGGGAGGGGCTGGTGGGGGGAGGCGTCCTCCCTCATCTCTGGCCAGGTATGAATTCCCTGCATGGACCCTGTGTCTGAGTGGCCCCCAGCTCCACCCTTCCTGGGACACTGCTACAGCTGTGTCTGCCTCACTTTCCCTGTTGACCTCTCAGGGCTCCAGAGATACCTGGGGAGACGGAGCACACAGAGAAACAGAGCATCATAGTGACAAACAGGAGACCCCCTTTGCTGCCTTCGTGTCCCTCCCCGCCCCGCCCCGTGCCTGCGCAATGGTGGCTCTGCGCAATGTGGGCCCTGCCAGGTCTGAGGGGTGTCTCGTTCATCATCGTGTTCATGCCACATGGGGTACCATCTCCCACGATCTGCTCTCCTGTCCTCCCTCAGCCCCTCTCTCTCCCCGACTCGGGCAGGCCATAGGATTCATACAAAATTAACTGGAGGTTCCATTTCACAACACTCCGATGTATCCGGTTCCCACCCTACCCTGCGGCTGCCCTGTCTTCTTTGTCCCCTTTCTCCCCCACCATGAAATATGCAATGCAGGGAGCGCCCAGCAGGGCCTCTTGAGCTGCCCCTGCTGACAGGTGGTGGTGCAGGGTCAGGAGTGAAGGACGAGAGCCACGCATGCCGAGTGACTGGCTCAGGGCACTGCCACTCCGGGCTCCCGGGAGCCGAAGCTAAGTGTTCTCTGGGTGACGCAGGGTGTCCTGTGTCCTGTCCCCACACTGCAGCCTTCCATACTGCACAGAGAGGAACGCTGAGCACCCCACCTCTTCCTTCTCCCTCCCTTCCTTCATTCTGCTGATGCTTTCTGAGCCCCAGGCACTGCAGCAGGTGCTGGGACACAGTGGAGAATGACAATCAGCTCCTGCCTCAGGGCTCACGGGCCACCCCAACACCCACTACCCATCTTTCCAGACAATGCGAAGCCACCTCCTCTGGGAAGCCTCCTCTGATAGCACACTGACCCTTCGTTGGGCACCATCTTATTTAATTGCCTAATTTTTGTACAGGGATGGGGCCAGATCATGATTTTTTTTTTTTTAAAAAGAGATACTTGGGTATAATAATAACAATGATAACGAACATCATTTTGTAAGTGTCTAGGGACTGCCACACAGTGCTAGGCCCTTCATGTGGATGACCTGATTTATTTCTCACATCATCCTGTGAGGTAGGTAGTGTTATTATGCCCATTTTACAGATAAGACAACTGAGGCTCAGAGAGGATTCACTGAACTCTCCCAGTGTCCCTTGAAGAGTAAGCCAGTCAGGATTCAAACCTGGGTCTCAGGGGCTCTACTGTCCTAGGCTGGACAGGTATGAAAACAAGGGAGCAGTGGAGGGCACGAAGGGAGGGGCATTACCAGGATGGAAGAGAACCAGCAGTGGGAGAGGAAAGCAATGGCACTCAATGGCCCAGTGAAATATCCAACACTGCCAGACCATGGGCGCTGAGTTCATGGCCTGTGCGGGCAGCAGGTGGTGCCCCGGGTGGGAGTTGATTTCTATGGCTTCAGATCCCCTCTATCACTTGCAGAGATCTTTTTGCCTAAAATTAGCTGGATGTGAACAGGAAGGCTAATTTATGCGTGGCCTGGAGCAGTTTCTGGGAGTGTGACTCAGAGGCTGCTCCCTGCTGACGTCCGCAGACTAGGGCAGTGGGTGTCGGGAATGGCCAACCTGGGACCCTGGGACAGGTTGGAGCTGGGACAGCTCCAGACCACAGGGCTTTGAAGTTGGGGGCTGGGGCTGGAGGCCAAGCATTTCTCTGAGTCAGAAGAGGGCTAAACAGGGCAGGACAAATGCTGAGCATGAGAGGGAAAATGAAAAGTGCCCTGGTGGCTCCACCCTCCTCAGACCCTTGGCAGACAGAAGGCACCTTCGCAGGACTGTTCCTAGGTACACGCGTGTGGCTGGGGGCTGAGGGCACACCTGGCCGTAGTGTCTGACACAGCTGTGTTCGAAGTCTGAGCTGATGTGAGCCATGGTGGTGACCTTGAGCCCTCATGCTTCCCATCTGTGAAATGGGTAACACCATCTGCTGCCAGGAATGTGGGTGATAAGGATGCAGAACAGCCTAGTAAAACGTGTAGCATCAGCTCGGACACTGGCCAGTGTCCCAGAAGAGTCAGATTTCACCGTTTCCGGAGAACGTGACTGCTTCTTCCAGAGTAGTGATAATCATACTGGAAACAACAAAAGCTGATGTTGACTGAGGACTTCTATGCCGGGAACTTGGCCTGAGCTCAATGTTCAAAACCCATGTTACTGATGGGGAAATGGAGGCGTTTAGTCTCTGGGGTTGAATTCTAACACGCAGTGCTGTCCATGTGCCTGGTAGGCAGGGTACTAAGCTGCTTCACTTTAGCCTCACCACAACCCTATGAGGTAGTTACTATTGTTATCCCATTTTTCGGATGAGGAAACTAAGGCACAGAGAGGCTGAGTAACTTGCCCAGAATGACACAGCTGTTAAATGACACAGCTGGGATTTGAATCCAAGTTGTCCAAGTCCAAGTCCAAGAGTAGCATTATGCTCCTCTGTCCTTCCCCAAACCTCTTTCAGCTCCGTCTGCACCCTGGGAAATCCTTCAGGGGATCAATGCAGCAGGGGCTCTGGTTAATCCTACTGTGGGCTTTCCTCCTTCTCAGGGACGTTTCCCATGAGAGACCTCACTTGATGCTCATGAAATATTAGAAAACCAAGGCCCAGAGAGGTCAGACAAAAGCCTCAAAGGCACACAGCTGACAGGCAGCAGAGCAACAGTCAGAGCTGTCATTATCGTTTCCATTTTACAGATGAGAAAACAAAGTCTCCTTTATTTTTCTTTTCATGTAACTTCTTGCAGCAGATCAGCAGTCTGGGGAATTCTATCTAAGAAATGTGGCTCTGTGCCACATCACACGCTTTCCCTTCTCTTCCCTCCATAGCCAAGTTCAAACACCTCCTCCTCCAGGTAGCCTTCCCTAACCCCCACTGCCCACCCATCTCGTTTCTCCTCGATCCCTGGGGTCCTCGCTGCACTTGGTCTGGATTATCTGCTGTTCTGGCTGCTCAGCCATCTGAGAGCTTCTCTCTGTGGACTGGGGACTCAGTGGCCACATCTCAGGGTTTTATGGGTCAGTTGCCCACCCTCCTCTGTGCCAGGCACCAGGCTGGGTGCTGGATGTTCAGAGAGGAGCAGGACAGGATTCCTGCCCTCAGGTGCACACCTGCTGTCCTCAGCTGGAGCGTGGCCATGAGCCACTCGATTTCCCAGGTCCCCGAGCCTGTCAGGTGGGAGGGGAGGGTAGATTTCTTAACCTGGGGTCCAGGGCCTGGCTTTGAGGGGCTCTGCGAACATGGTGGTAGTGTGAACCACACTGTTGCACACAGTTGACTATTCTTCGGGGAGGGGCCGTAGCTTCCATCAGGTTCTCCACAGAGTCTGGGGTCCAGAGACACTTAAGAATTCCTGACTCAAGAGAATCTCCTGGTCCCATTCAAAAGGCAAAGACCATTGGGACAACCCTGCCTCCTAGCAGGTCAGGTGTGCCAAACTGATGGTGGAGGTGAGCATGGGCCATTCTGTCACAGATTGACGTTTACATGAGGCCGGGGCCCAGGAGCCCCCCAGGCTGAGCCCACTCCCATCTCAGGGCCACACGTGTCTGTTCTCAAGCCCTGAGCTAGAATCACGCAGGGAAGAAACGACGCTTCCCCTATTTCCACCCTCCCCGCCAAAAAATACCCAAACAACATCAGAAAAGAAAAAGGTGTTTCTAAACTTCTGCCCAGACTCAGCGAGAAGGGCAAAACGTCAGAGACAGCAGCGAGTCTGGGAAGGAGGACCAGTCATAGCTTTTCCTCCTGACCCAAGAGAGGAGGGTCCCAGATGAGAGGGACACTGACCGCTGGCGCCGCAGCGCACAGTGTGTGCCGGCACAGCAATGGACTGTCGGGCCCTGGCTGAGCAGCTAGGTCCACAGGCAGCCTCAGATCTCTTGTCTGTCAGTGGGGATGAGCCTTCAAATGCTGCCTGTCTCCCAGGTTGTGGTCTATACCTGGTGGAGGGATTGTCATCCACTCTCTTTAGAATAATAATGGCTGCCACATATTGAGCACCTACTGTATGCTCAGGCTTCCATCAGGCACTGTGAGGTAGGTATTGGCCCCATTTTCCAGAGGAAGAAAGTGAGGCTCAGTGCAGCTTCTCTGCACAAAGTTGCAGGACTGGGAGTGCCAGGACAGAGTACCTCACACCTGTGCTTTTGGGGTTTACTTAGGGAAGTTTTCTTCTTCCTCGTGAGGGGAAGGTAACCGTGGGGATGGAACCCAGACTCTGAGCTCTGGTGCCCAAGCTGGGCTGGTGCTCTTCCTCTCCGCCTTGTGGCAGATGACATGGCTTTGGTCCCCTCCAGAAAGCTGAAACCTTCCCTGTCTGGAGATCGCAGGCCTGCTCACTTTGGCAGTTGTAAGAAAGCCCCATGCCCAGCTCCAGGGCAAGACACACATGGGCATCTGTCACCTTTCCCGTGACAGCCTGCCCTGCCTGCCCTGTCTTCCCAGCAGCTCCACAGCTGCCCCAGAGACCTAGGGATCCCCAGTCAGAGTCTAGATTTGGATGAGTCGGACATGACGCAGCCCAGCAGCAGGGGCTGGGGAGCTGGAATTGGCTCACTGGTTCCATGCTCAAGCCCAGACGAGGGGGTCCCTGGGGCCTGGGTAAGGGACCCCAGGGTCTGACTGACCCCCGAATTCAAACCCCGTGTTTAAGCCTTGTGCACCTACCTTCGACAGGTGAGGTTTTGAGGCGCCGGCAGATGGTGTCAGTGTCCCCGTAGGTCTCCTTGATCTTGACCACGGCCTCGGTGCCCCGCAGCTCCATGAGGGAGCGCAGCTCCTCCATCGTGCACCCAAACTCGCCCCCATGGCTCGACTCATTTCTTTGGTTTTTGGAGTAAAAGTCACTGTTGGTCATGTCACCCATGTCTGCCGCAGTCCCCGCTCGGGGTGGGTCCGAGGGTCAGTGCTGGACAGGAGGCTGCCAGGCGATGGCTCCGTGTGGCTGTCCTCAGCACAACCTCACTGGACGGCTGTGGCTCCTGGCAGCTGACTCCAGGGGGCAGCCGAGGTGGGCTGGCGACAGTGGCGGTGGGCTCTGAGGGGCGTCCCCGGGCGTGGGGCAAGGTCCAGGGGCCGGAGGGGCTCAGGGCTGTAGACCCAGGAGTCTCCATTCAGCGGGGCCCATGCTGCTCCCTGGAGCTGGCATCTACATGGTCAGGGGTGGTGGCTCCTGCAGGGGCAAGCAGAGAGTGGTGACAGGGGTCAGACACTGGAGGCCTCATGGGACAGGTACCCGGGAAGGCCCGGCTTGCAGGTGCTACACACACGCCCCCTCACCCCAAATAACACCAACCACACATACACATACCTGGACGTGGATGTTCGTACAATACCCCATCGTGCACCGGCACTCACTGCAAATCCAAACGTACTGACACCCACTAGGCCCTCCATGCTACACCACACCCCCGGCATAGCCTGATGTACCCTCATAACACATGCTAACCCCCTAATTGTCCACTATGGACACACTGACTTTGCGATACGAACCCCGGTGTACACACACCCTGTGACATGCCGCTTGGGGTGCAACACCCCACCTGCCTACTTTTTTTAGGGCCCACCCACTGCCATACACACACACCAACACAGGGCCCCCTTCACACACACGGTGGCGGACACCCCCTCCCCACCATGCACACTGTCACACGTAGTCACATTTACAGGCATCATCTTAACATCCCCACCTCCTCCCCTCAAAAATACCACTGTTCACAACCCTGTGTACACACATGCCATGCCCACACAATCAGGGGCCTAACCCTCTGCCCCCAAGTAACAGCTCCCAGATGCCCCAGCACGGATGCTTCCCCTGTCCACGCCTCCTATATCTGCCGAAACGCACTGCTCTCCCGACTCGAGTCTCACAGGCGTGGGGACGGCAGAAAGCAACCTGCCTGCACCCGCAGCCCACAGCTACACTGATCGAGGGCCTCAGCCTCGCCAGAGGGTCCATCTCATGCATATTCACCAGGATGTCACTGTGGCCCCCAGAATGAGCCGGGGTCAACAGAACCCTCACCTTGGGGCCCCAGGGTCTGGAACCACGGACCGCGGCTGCCACGTCCCTGAGGGAGCCCAGGAGGAGGAGGGAGCCCCGGCTACTCCCTGCCTGCCTGGCCACCCTTGCCGGAGTGTGGCATCTGTGGAGCTGCCAGGAGAGAACCCAATCCACCCAGATACCCAACACCGGTGGCCAAGGCCCCGGCAAGCGTTGGGTGACAAAGGGCCTCTGCTGAGCTCAGCTAGGTCTGGCACAGGGACTGGCCCCGCCCAGCAGCTGCGGAAAGCTGGCCGTCCTAGGCCCAGAACAGTGAGGGGGAAGAGGTGGGGGCAGGAAGGTGGGACTGAGCCCCACCCCAGCCCCAACTCCTCCCTCGTGTCCCCCTCCCCTGCCCCATCTCTTTCCTTCACAATCCTTTCCTCTTGCACAGAGTTTTAGACCTGGAGGTAATTTAGGGTTAATCTCATTTTCCCAGTGAGGAAGCTGAAGCTCAGAGAGGGAAAGGAACTTGTCCAGAGACACACAGAGCAAGAGTGGACGGAGCGCAGAGCTGGGCTGGGATCTCCTGACTGCCAGCCCGTTGCTCTTTCCCCTGCCACTAGGGGGCGCTCCCTCCCCTCTCTCTAAAGAACAACACAGGATCCTAAATCACAGCACTCCGGGTTCAAATCCGAGATCTCCTGAACCCAGGCTGAGGGATCCTGGGCAAGTCCCTTCACTTTTCCGAGGCTCAGTTTCTTCATCTGTAAAATAAGTCATTCTCCCCTGTGCCCCAGCTACTTCCCAGTTTACTGGGAACTAATTGTGAACCGCCGTGTTCAAATCCAGTGAGTTTCCACCCGGGGTACAGAGCTTCCCAGCGTGGATCAGTGGGTGCTGGAGCCACAGGAGAAGCCTGCCATACCTCACAGGAGGGCACTTGCACTCAAGGATGCAATAGGAAGCCTTATTTTCACACTGGGACCAACTGGTATCTTACCGAGTAGAACTTAAAATGGGCCTGATGCCTTAAACAGAGACACGAGACACCAAAGAAAGTGTGTGCTTGGGATTCCCACCCGCAGTCCTGCAGGAACACTCGGGGTCCCTGGCCATCCGGGCATGCACCACCACCATAACCCGTGAGTTTTGACCCCAACGGTATATCTCCGAGCGGAGCAGGTGAGGCAGGGACCAAGCAGGCCTGTGTGTAGAGATGCCGTGGAGGTTAACTGGAGGTGCTCTAGAAGACACAGCCTCTGGGTTCAAGTTTTGCCACCTCTCAACAGACTGGGAGGCCAATTAACTTTAGTTTCATTATCTTAAACAAAGGGAGGGGGAGTAATAGTATCTACTTAATAGGTATTATGAGGCTTAAGTGAATTATTACATGCGAAATACTAAGAATTGAGCCAAGCACATGGTAAGCACTAATTCTTGTGATTATGAGCAATCCATACAACCACTTTATGAGACAGGTAGTCTTGTTATTCCCTAGAACATATGAGGAAACTGAGGCCAAGAGAGGTGGAGTCACTTGCCCAAGGTCACAGAGTTAGCGAGTGGAAGAGCTGGGATTTGAACTCAGGCAGTCTGGATCCAGAGACATACTCTTATTAATCAGGATGCTTTGCTGCCTTCCCTGGTGCATCTCCCTCATGGGGTTCTTACAATGCTTAAATGAAGTGCCATATGTGAATGAAAGTGCTTTGCAAAAACCACAAGGGACTCTGTAATGCCAAGGTGCTGTTTTCTATCTGCCTTCCTGCTACCTGTGGCGTGTCTTATAGGCACTGATAATTACATCTCTGACAGCACGAGCTATGAGACCCGTTAGCAGTAATTATATCTGTGATGACAACAGCAGAGATGAGTTAATGGGCTACTGGTGATTTTAATGACTATTGTGTTAAGATGAACAATGATCTTCAACCAACTATCCATCCATCTACCCATATGTCCATCCATCCATTCATCCAACCAACCACTCATTAATTGTGTTGTGTGCACCTACTTTGTGCTGACAAGGGGGAAGAGAGACAATTAGATGAGTGACCTCCATAATATGATGGGTTTGCCATGACAGGGGGTCCCAGGTGCTCTGCATGTCCAGAGCAGGAAGATGTGACCTGGCCCAGGGTATCAGAGAAGATTTTTCCTTTTAACATGAGTAGGGAGTTTTTTTCCCCTTCAGGAAAATGGGCTGTGTGACTTTGGAGAAGTCACCTAACCTTTCTGGGCCTCATCTGCCCAGTGAGGTTGACCCATCTGTCTTACAGGCTGCTGTAAGGACCCATTGAGGCTCTTATGTGTGGGTCTCTGTGTGGCTCCTGGCCTGGAGCAGATACTCTACAGTGCTGGCTTCTGCACCTCCCCCAACCTCCCTACTACCTACGCACCCTGTTATTAACAACTGCACCTCCCTCAAGGCTGAGATGAGGTTCATTTGTAGCCAGCTCTTAATGCCACACTGACAGTCACCCCTGTCCTAATTGATGGGCACACAGGCTGCTATGGACTGAATGTGTCCCCCTGCCCCAAATTCATATGTTGAAGCCCTAATCCCCAGTGTGATGATATTTGGAGGTGGCGCCTTTGGGAGGTAATTAGGTCATGAGGGTAGAACCCTCACAAATGGGATTAGTCTTCTTATAAAAAAGAGACATGACAGAGATGATCTTCCTTGGTCGTGTGAGGACAGTGAGAAGGTGGCCATCTGTAATCCAGGAAGTGGGTTCTCACCAGGATCTGAATCTGCTGGTACCTTGATCTTGGACTTCCCAACCTCCAGCACTATGAAAAATAAATTTCTGTTGTTTAAGCCACACGGCCTATGGTATTCTGTTATAGCAACCCGAGCTAAGACGTGTGCCTGGGCAGGGCAGATGTCTGGGCAGCCAGCCCTGGGCCCAGAGAGGTTGAGCAACACAACTAGGGGTCACACAGCCAACTGGGGTCACAGCCCACTGAAAAGCACCTCCCTGTTCTCCAAGCTCCTGCTGTGTGACCTTGACCAAGCCCCTTTCCTCCCTGGGCTTCAGTTTCCCATGTGGAAACTGAAGAGATTGGACTAGTGTTCTCTCGGGTCCCTTCAGGCTCTGATGCGCCAGCTCCTTCAGAATCCAGAATGAATGTTCTGACAATATTGGGTTTATGCATTTCGGTTTCATCTTATTAGCATTTAAATGACTCTGTATTGTTACATTCAGTGATTGAAGAATAGGTTGGGGCACCTTAATAAAAAGTCTTTGCCAAGAGAGACTCTGGCAGAGGAAGGAGCAATGGATTTTTTTTTTTTTTTTTGGAGTTAATTTAACAAAGAAGAAATCTATCTTTCGAAGGAAGGTTTTAAAAAAAACACCCCAAAACCTAAACCATCAGCTTTTCAAATCCTAATTGAAGGATGGGACATCGCAAATGAATTACGTGCTAAAAATAATTTTCGGATGCCGAATCCTCCTGTTTTCAGACCTGCGGAATTTAAATGCCATCTTAATACGTATTTATAAAGTCACCCTTTACTTTGAATCGCCCCTGGCACCAGTGACAGACGTGGGGACACAGGTCCCGTCTGGAGACCCCTGATGACGAGGCCTGATGCTGCCATTTGGTAGTTTTGTGATGGGGGTGGAGTGGGGGGGGCAAGGTCTTAGCCCCTCCCTGGGCCTCCCTCCCGCACAGGGCTTTGCGAGGCCTACCTGAGCTAGAGCTTAGAGCAGTTCCTGGCGCAGCGCAAGACTTGTTCAACAGGGACTGTTCTTCTGATGGTAACTTAACTCGCTCCTTCCCTCTGCTCTCAGCTCACCTAGGCTGTCCTCCACGCTACTGTCCTGAACGTGGGGCTCAGGCCAACCGTGCCATCCCCACAAGGCTCCCAGCACCGCTTGGAAGGCTGGGGAGGGTCCCAGTTTGTAGGCACAGCTTACAGGGCTAGCCTCTCCTCTGCTCTGGTCCTGACTGACTAATCCCCACAGGCAGGACATTTTCTTTCCTCTCCTGGATGCAAATTCTGGCCTTTCTGTGGTCCCCACCCTGCCCCGCCCCAGCTGAGGGGACCCTCCTCGGCGCTGACCGGGGAAACGGGTGACCTCAGCCAGGCAGCTGGGGGCAGAGGGACAACTGCTCTTCTTGCCTCAGCCTCACTGGGAGGGTCAAAGCGTTGTAGCCATTGTCTTAGCCGCCCCTCT